CTCATCATCATTCTACTGAACATCCTCCACATTGACTTTAGTGTATGCTTACAAAAAAAAATACTCCGTATCTTGTATTTACCGTTCATTAAAAATGCATTTCCTTTTATATGTGTTTATATTTATCATCTCCCTAATTAACATCACTAAGTGGGTGCCGCTGCAACATGGCCCAACTGTGGTCTATAATGTTCCAATAAACCAAGTAGTCGTTCATGTCCCCAATTGCACCAAAACTAATCCCATTGGATCAATCCTTACCTAAACAGGTCCAATTAGACCAATTTAGACTCAATTGAGTCTGCCCAGTGGCCTGCCAAATCGGACCTACCCCGCTGCCGGCGTTTGGTCGGTAACCCGTAGGGAATTCCGTTTGAAATTCATCCCAAACATATTAAACATCCAATTCAACATTGAAATCATCCAATTCTACAATCAATTGCACAATTCATTCGATTATGATTCTAATCTATGGAAACTCTAACCAAAGACATGTGAAAACGCTTCACCTCGATTAGTGGAGAAAATGAAATCGTGGGTTGAGGGGGGAGATACGGACGTTGTTTTCCGTCGGCTCATGCACGGATGGACGGAGGGATGATCGAAGTGTTGATGAACTTAGAAGAGTACAGGATGACGACTATCGACGGTGAAGGAAACGAAGATAGACCCCTGGTGGTTCGATCGCTGAAGGACAAAGGGAGGGGAGATGCAGAACGGAATTAGAAGGGGAGGAGAAAACGGTTTCTAAATGGAGTTATAAATGTCCATCAATTCGGTTTTTATTTCAAAATTGCCACATTGAAATTGAACCGTTGGATCAAATCTAAAATTGAAATTGCACCGTTAGATCTAGGAAGAGGATTTGATTGTGTTTTTTATATAACTAGATTCTACCCGTGCGATGCACGGTAAGAATAATATGCAGTGTAATAGTAATCAATGTGTAATATATAAATAACATACAATTACATAATATGAAATTGAATATTGATATATCTTGTTCACATCATGTCTAAAAGTTTTTTCTATTGAAAATTTAAAAGAAATAATTTAATAGTTTAATAATTAATGAAGTGGTAATCGCAAAAAAAAGATAAAGTGGTAAGTACTTTAAACAAAAAAAATTAAGTAGTGATTCTTATGTATGACAACCGCCAAAAATAAAAAATTTCTCAGCCCATATACTTTTAAAAAGCCCACGAAAGTAAGTTATTCTGCCCACTAATGCTTGAGAATTTGAGCTAGAAAATTTCCTTTTGCTTTTGTAAAGAGTAAGATTTATTTAGTTATTTCCTTTTTAAAAAAATATTAATTTTATTTCATTTCTTTTATATTAATCAAAATTAAAAAATAAAAAAAAGAACAGAAAAGAAAATAAAGATGTTATCAAATAATATTTTCAGCACACTAACGCTAAACACTTAAAATGTTCCCAAACAAACCCTACATTTACAGAGTTGACTCTATTTGAACTGTAGTATTCTAAAAACCCAAACTATTTGATCATTAAGTGAGATTTATCACCCTGGAAGATTTTGAAGTTAAAAGATGATAGACTTTAATCGCTCCCATTGCTCTTATTGATGTTCGAATGGACAAAGAACGAATAAAAAGTGTAACCATGGTAGCTATGCTTGGATCTAAAATGTGAAATACCAGGGACTGAAAGAAATCACACACGTTACTACACAATAATACACTGAGAATGAAACCATATCTGATTTTATACTTCTAATAAGCCCTTGCCTCTCAAAATACTATTAGTAAAACCCAAATCACTTGATCATTAGCTGAAACCTTATATCAGTAACTCAAAACAAACTCAGATGAAGTCTTGAAAGGAAAATAAAATGGCATCAAACTCTCGTTATAGTTGTTAGAGAGTGTAGACCAGAGGTGAGAAAGCACAAATTTTCATTTTGCTTCTCGTTAAAAAAAATATGTTATTTAAAGAAATTGATGTTTAAAGAATTTACCTTGATGATGCAACTCGGGCAAAACATTGAGTTAGAGACCCTTGTGTTTTGCCTAGGTTTGAAGGTCACCATTTCAAAAAAGACTCATCAAGAGTCAAAACATGTCAATCTCATTTAGCATATTACGGAGTGTAAACCTGAAAATCTATATGCGGTTTTAGTATCTAATGTTGCTATTCCAGAATTGATGCAGTTAAAATCTAAAATGAATAATACCCTATATAAATGTCAGTTATCGGTGTTACCTCCATTGTTGATGTAAAATTTGATATCATCTGATTAGGAAAACCTCTTTTTGAGTCGTGTCCTAAGACGTCCATGCATGCCGGTTGAATACTTTTTTGTTTTCTTAGGAATGTACTAATTACCAATAATGTTTTTATGGGCACATATATTTTTAATGTTTTACGTAGTATATCTTTGAAAAGTGTAATCATTGTTTTGAATATGATATCTTTTTTTTATGTTTTACTCCGTATATCTTTGATGCTAAAATTTAACTTCCAATACACATTGTGGACCTAGAAACTGATGCTATCCAGAGACGGGAAACCATATCATGGCACTTGTAAAGGGGGGAAAATACTCGGGTTTCTATGCATTTTTTGGTGTTGATGAAGAGGTAGTTTACAAATAAAGCTCGACAATAAGATGTTCCATGGTTCATGTACCTTTCAATGGAGAATTTATCGCATGGATTATCTTCTGTGAATATGATTTTTGCAAGTTGTGATTTAACACGTAGGCTTCTCTTGGAGATTTTGATGGCGGAGAAGCCCAAGCCGGTGCAGAAGAGGCCAGAGGGATGCTCAATGTAGTAATTTAAGATTTTACTCTTTCAAATATAAAAGTATATTTCATATTCTATCCCTTCTTTTCATGTACTCCCTCCGTCCACAAATAAACTTTAAGTTTACTATTCACAGGGTCAAACTTTATTCACTTTTTTGGCCTATTTTCGTCACCCATTTGATAAAACAATATAGTCATGTCACCTCTAGTTTTGTAGATCTTTTGATATAATTTTTTAATATGTAATTTTTATTTTTCAAATCTACACCGTACCATTTTTCATATAAAATGATTTGAAAATAACTTCGGACAAACATCGTAACGCAAAATGTAAAATTTATTTGTGGACGGATGGAGTATTATCCTTGGCAATGTAGTGGATTTGTTGACACTTTTGACCATTTACTTCACGCCTAGTCTGTTTTTTCTTGACCATTCCTATTTGAAACAAAATGAGTATCTGTTTCTTCAAATATGAGTTTGATGTATATTTTTTGTATACCACAATGATATACAAATAAAGATGAAATTCATCACTTAATAAATTTTAATGTTGGTATTCATTGTTTAGCCATCATATCTACCATAAAAATATCATATCTATACTTGAAAAATATTTATATTAGACATAGCTATACATAATTTGAAAATTAAATTAAAAAAATACTATATTTAAAAATTGAATTAATCCTTTAAAAATGTTAACTTTTTTAATTATCAATAAGCTCATATGAAGCACGGGGTATAAACTAGTCTATTCATAAACAAGTCCATCATTTATTTAGGTTGGCCCATTTAAAACAAAAAAAGCATAACATCACAAATTTCTTTAGGGCCCATACACTTGCTCACCACCTTGTATTATCCAATAATTCATGCAGTTCAAAACCAACACAAGTATATTATTGCGGAGTATAATATAAAGTGTTTTTGAAAACAAAAGATTATTTTTCATATAAAAATTACTCGATGGTATCCTCGATTTTCTTGTAAAAATTATAAGGTCCCATATTATCTAAAATACACTTCGAGGTACTCTTGATTTTCTTGTAAGAACTCTCATCTTCCACATTATCTAAAAATATACTCCACGATCCCTTAAAATTTGTGATATTATACTCTAAGGGTATATTTTGTCCATTTAGATGTTAGGATTGAAAAGTTTGTTACTTTAAGAACTTGAAGGATTTTATTAAAATTTAATAAAATAATGATTATAAAGGTATAATTTAGTATTTTCAAAGTAACAAAAATTTCAATACTAGTAGTAAAAATGTCAAATAGATGGAATGTACTCTTGGAGTATATTATCCCAAATTTTAAGGACACCAGAATTTATTTCGGAAAATGTGGGATAATAACTAAATATTACCCTTGTCATCGAGCATTTGATCTTTTGCTTTTTATAGTCAATCATATTTAATCTTTAACCTATAACGATATAAAACCTATATGATATATTAATTAGATAAAATAATATTGTGAAAATATATTATAAAGTATATCTTATATATGGAGTATAAAATTATTTTTGTATCAATATATAATATCATTTTTATTTAATCTATGGGTAAAGGTTGTCAATTTTGATTGAAAAAGTTCAAAATCCACAAATATTCAAGGATGAATATGGTATACTTTTTTATTTTTTTGTACTAAAAGTTTATAAACTTTGACGAAAGAAAAACAAACTGCAAATAGTTTTTGAGACAGAGATTATATAAGTGAAATTTGTAGTGAATAGGACTAAAATATAAGTCATGTCCAATGTAGGACTTAAACTTTTTTATTCATTAAATAGAACTTAATAATGACTAGTGAGAAAAATAATGTCCAAGTGATGCTGGACATTTAGTTGTTAATGACTAATAGATAATGACCAAAGGTCCTATATTGGAAAATAAAAACATATGGTCATATATTGAAAAAGTCATTATGTTTTATTCCTAGTTAGGTAAATTACTCATAATATACATGAGTTAGAGATAAAAATAACAAAAAACTAAAAACAGGGTATCGTGACGGTGGGCCGCCATTCTGGACTCGTTTTCAGCGCATTGGAAAATGGCTGTCGTGGTAGAAAGACTAAAAACCAAAGCTACAGGTTGGCCTTTCAATATGCTCCCTGGTCAAGTTTTTCTGCAAATTTATTGATCCCAACAATAAACTTGGTTCCAAAAAAAAATGGATAAGAATAATAATTCCACCCCATAACTATAAACTCCATCCCAAAAATGGATAACAATAAAAATAATTCCTCCCCAATTCTATAAATAAGTTAAGATACTTCACAACTTCAAAACTTCTTCATTAACCATCAGTTAATTGACAATGAAGGTTTTACTAATCTTTGTGCTTTCCCTCCTATCCCTCCTCGTCTCCCCACCACTCATTCCGGCCGCTGCCGCCGCATCTCCGGCCGTCCTCGACGTGAAGGGCAAGCCGCTGATAGTCGGCTCGAACTACTTCGTCCTCCCGGTGATCCACGGCAGCGGCGGCGGGCTATACCCGTCCAACACCAAACCGAACACGTTCGGATGCCCTCTGGACATCATCCAAGAAGCCAATGAAGTCCAGAAGGGCATTCCGGTCGTGTTCAGCCCGGTCAACGCCACCGCCGCCGGCGGCGGCGGCACCGTCCCGTTGTCGACCGACCTGAACGTCAGGTTCTACACCCCGACGATTTGCGCGCGGAGGATGGGGTGGAAAACGGACGGCCCCGACGAGTCGTCGAAGCAGTACTTCGTAAAGACGGGCGGGGCCGAGGGGAACCCGGGCCCGCAGACTTTGAGCAGCTGGTTCAAGATCGAGAAGGCGGGGAGCGATTTCAAGTTCGTGTTTTGCCCGACCGTTTGCAGCGTTTGCAAAGTGGTTTGCAAAGACGTGGGAATCTATGTGCAGAAAAATGGGGCCCGGTTTTTGGTGCTGAGTGAGGTTCCATTCAAAGTTATGTTTGAGAAGACGTTTTGATTCGTTGGATGTTTAGAATTGTTGTTGTTTCTACTTCAGTTTTGGAGTTGGATTTTGTATGGTACTCCGATCCATATGTGTCAAAATTCAAAACGACTACTCCCTCACATCCAAATAAAAAGCATCATAATAACACTTTTGGAATAATATTTTTTAATTTGTGTGTTTTATACTTGATCGTGTAAATACTCCATCTGTTATAATTGTCTCATTTTGAGTAACGGCCTAAATTCTACGTATTTTTAGAATTATTTTTATTTATAAATTGTTATATAATTAAATAAAAAAATAGAAATTACATATTTCAAAATTAAATCAAAAGATCTATGTGATATTTTTTTTTTGAGAAAAGTGCATGGGTTACCCCGAACTTTTTCGAAAATGCATGATTTACCCCTAAAAATAAGAAGTGCACCAATCACCCCTCAAATATGCAAACCATTGCACATATGACCCCTTTTCTCTTTTCGTAAAAATGAATTGTAAAAAACAATTGTAAATACTAAAATATCCATTCCCTCGTATATACTCCTTACGCACAAGCTATCCGTTCCAACTACAATAATAACCACACGACTTCTCAAGTGAAAGCCGGTCGCATGGTCGCACGAGGTAATTTGTTTTGCTTTTTTGTGTGGAGAATTTCGAGAATTCCAAAGGGGCGATGTTATATGTTAGTTGATTCAAAAGGGTAATTTCGAGAATTCTAGGCCAATGTGAATCACAGGGGAAATTATTTGTAAATTATTTTTTGGAAATTACCACTCCTAACGATTGGTAAAATAGATCGAAAATTTCCCTCCCAACGATTAACAAATTTTCCGATTTACAATTCTCCATTGCACCCTTTGGAAAATTAATCAAGAAGAAAATAGATTGAAATTATCCTTTGGAAAATAGATTGAAAAGGGCAACTTCTTTGCTAAATCAAGAAGATAAATTTGAAATTTGGGAGGGTAATTTTGCGAATTCCAAAGGGCTGTTGTGAATCAGAGTCGCAATTTTGGTGGGTGGGAGAAACGCACGCCGGATCTAAGATTGGAGGACCATTGGTGCAATGGTTTGGATATTTGAGGGGTGATTGGTGCACTTCTTATTCTTTAGGGGTAAATCGTGCACTTTCGAAGAAGTTCGGGGGTAATCCATGCACTTTTCTCTAAATTTTTTCCTCGGCAAGTTTGTAATGAGGCATCCTCCATGGAATCGATCACACATCGATATCGATGGGACTGAGGGCGGATCCTTAAAGACAACAAACAAACTGCATATGATGATTTCTTCATCCACTCTGGTGATGCTTGTTGTGCTCTAATGAGCGAGCCGACAAGGTACTTTATATGATAGCAGCAAATTGTGTTGTTTTTTCTTACTTTGTCACTTCGGGCAGCGAGTTAGCAGCACACTTCATGCTAATTGGTTCAATTTTATTCACCGTGCCACTCTGGACAGCGAGTTGACAGTGCATTTCGTGCTAATGGCATAGTTTGTCTTACTTGCCATCCTCCGGACGGTGAGTTGGTTGTGCACTCCGGATAGTGAGTCAACCGCATACCTACCATGATGGATTTTGTTCTACTTCCACGTTGTCTCGAGTTCCTCTCAACTCAGAAAATGGGAGACTCGTGATGGATAGACATGGAAGTATCCGGTATTTGTATAGAGTTAGTTGGGACGCTCTAGTGTGTTGTACCTGCCCGTTAATCGTGCATTGATTGGTTATCTAGGTGACCCAATCTGTTGGGTCAGCCCATTAATTATTGTATATATGTTGGGCCTAAACTCTAACCCTATTTTCTCTATTTATATCTCCTCTTAGAGGTGGAATGATGAGATTCACAATACATATATTGCACTCATCTTGTTCATTCTTCTTCTTCTCTATTCATGGTTTCTTCATTCTTTCTCTACAATGGAGTCTTGCTCTAGGTACTCTAGGTCCAAGAAACGATTACCTACTTATCAGCTAAATCTTTTAAGTTAAAATAGTAAATCTCGACTTTATATGCAAATGACTAATTTTACTTGACACTACTCGTGGTTCTAGACCACCAGAATTTTAACGCATTTAAAGTACAAACCAAATATCTAACTTTGGGGCTTGAGGCTTTAAATGCATGTCAGATACACAAAATATTCATCTTATGATGCAACTTTAATAACCCTGAATGCAACTTACATAACACCAAACACAATACAATGAATAAATAGTTCCATTATCTAAAATGAAAAAGAATGGAGGCTCAAGTATAGAAAAATTAAAGGTGTCGTATCCATGTCATAAAGCATTTGTAATATCACTTTCTCCATAGAAATTTATTATTATTAATTTTCACACAATCACAGATGACATTCGATTTTATGCATCATAATTACACCTAAATCTAATGAAAATAATACGGAGTATTAACAAATCCAGACCCACGGGCAGGATTTTTTAATTAAAAGTTTAGCACAATGCATTACAAGATATAGACAATGCATAACACTCTAAACACACTCTATATATATATACCAAAATATGATTTTTTAAGTTTTTTTAATACTAAAATAGACCTATATTACATCAATAATTCAATATATATTACCAAAAAGTATTGGGAAACACTAGTATAGAATTCCAATTAAGTTGTGTCATTTACGCAATGACAACGCTCCTAACCACTAAAAATATAAGAGGTCTTGTTTTAGTATAATAATTTTCATGATCGTTGACAAATTACTTAATTTGATCAAAACACGTTTTCAAAAAGAGCTAATTTGTACCACTAATGAAGGCCAAATAGCGCCAGTACCCCCGTGGTTTGCAATATAGGCACAAAAACCCCCTCTGTTTTCAAAACTTATTTCTAAAGTCCTTGTGGTTTCAAAATGCTGCACCCGTGCCCCCTCTAATCATTTTCCGGCCATTTTTCCGGCGAAGTATGAGGGCATTGGTGCATATTTACTAAACCACAGGGGGTATCGGTGCTGATATTTATTTCTCACTTATTTTTTTGTTTTTTTTCCATTTTTTCCTTTATTTGTTTCTTTTATTAATAAAGGTTTTTTTAAAATTATTTTTATAATGTTCATAAAATTTAAAGTTATTTTTGTTTGAAAAAATTAACATATAATAAAAATTAACATATAATGTATGTATGTATATATATATATATATATATATATGTAACGCCACAAAATATGGCCTAAAATTTATTATAAAACAAAAGTAAATTTTATCCAATAAGAAATATTTATACGTNGACCAAAAATAAATGGATTTTCAAAATAATGAATTTTTGTTAAAAAGTTATTTTTATGGATATGTCTCGAAGAGACGAATCCAACTGTACATTTTATGAATCAATCTGGTTTATAGATTTCAAGTTATGTCAATTTTAAATGTTAAAATTTGTAACTTTGACCCATAAAATAAACTCAATCCAAAGGTGATTTTATAAGATTAGAAATCATAATTTTGACCCTTGACAACATCATATTAATCATTTGGATTTAATCCATATATTTTTATCTCATTCATATTATTAAATTAATTTATGACTGAGACAGACCTGAACACTGAGAAAAATAAAAGTTCTCAAAAAAATATTTTGATTATGTCAAAATTCTAGTTTTGACAGTCTGTTTCCAAAAACACAATCCGTTTTCAATTCATGACAGTTTAGGCGAAAAAGCGTGTACCGTTTTAGCCAGTTTATCAGTTACGGAGTAGGAGAATATTTTAAAATCTTCAAAACTCCTTCAATCACGAGACCTTTCTCCTTAGCTACCCCACTCCACTCCACTAACACTATAATCCAACCCTTCCTATATAATACTCCCACCTTTATTCCATTTTCTCCACCACATATTCATCATCAAACATCATCACCAATCATCCATCCATCCATCATCTCTCCTCTTCACCTCTCTCTCTCTCTCGGTCAGGCACCAAGGAAGGAAAAAGGAGATTCCAACTCCATGATTTCATGTTAAGGAAGAAGAAGGATCAAGAAGGAAGTAGCTAAAGTTTCTAAAATCCTGAGTTCAAACACAGCAGCCCACTTCTAGGTAAAAACTGAAATTCTCCATACATTATCTCGAAATACTTTCTGAACCAAAGTTGTAGCCCCGGACGATACGAATCCAGCCCAACAAACGGCTCGTGATTTCGTTAAGTATCGAGGAAGATATGACCGAAATACCGGGACTGCGCTAGTGGTGGCGAGCTCCTCGGGTTGGCATGTTTTTCTTCACCAAATTAATATTATTTCATCCCAAATACTTACCATAAACTTTCTAACAATTATTAGGAACATCCGGAAGGTATCGTAGAGAAAGTTCGGCATTGGAACGTTGAAGTTAGTGAGTTAATCGTCGGAATCATGTTCATCGACATACCCGAAATTCTGGACAGCAACTTTATATTGACTTCAGGTCCAATTTACGCTATCTTACATATGTTAAAACAAAATACTTTCTATACGAAAGTTGTAGCCTTACATCTTAGGAATCCACAGAATCAAACGGTTTGCAATTCCGTGGAGAAACGATGGAGATATGCCCAAATTACCGCAAGCTGTCCAGTTGTGACGAAAATGACAAAGTTGGCAAATTTCGATGTTGTTTCCACTCCCGCTCATCCGTAAGGTTTCGGCCGATGATTTCCAGGTCTGTACCTTTGCGTTAGACTTGTCGAATCATTCATCACATACGTACATGAACATATATGTTAATCCATATGTTGAAATCATCCCAAAATATATATGTGATACATATATTAGTCATCTTTGTGTTAAGACCAAAATATACCAAATCCATAAAGTCAATATATATATATATATATATATACATAAGTATATATAAACATTTGAGATCAACCCAAAAATGTATATATTAATCAAAGGTGTTTAAAAGACTTAAAGAAGTATTTTTGGACACTCAAAATATCAAGAGAAACTTTCACATACCTAAACAGTCGACGCAAAGGGTCGACCGTCGCGTTAAACTTCGAGACGAACCAGGACTGTCAGCCAAACGGTCGACCGCCGGTGGCTGACGGTCGACTGCCGCCCGCCGAGCCGAGGACCATCTTTCTCAGTTAGTCAACAACGGTCAACCGCCGGTCAACCACGGTCGACCGTCACGGTGTTCCGAGCCCCGTAACTTATTTTAATGATATTTTTATCAGATTTCATCCAAATAAAATAAAGTATATTTATCCAATCATGTTGTTTACAAATTGTTCATATCATGTGATTCATTTCATCTTCCATATGTAAACATATCACATCATGTGCATGCGCAAGAGATCAGGCGGAAGTGCGTCTCTTGTAGTTGTGATTGTGCGGGACTTAGCAGTCCGACATCATGGACCGGGCTTAGTGTACGTACATGGTACTTAGTTTTTCGAGTACCACCCCTATTTCTGCATGATTTCGTCGTACCAAATGGGCGAATCTCATAGTTCAAGGCTCGTCCTTGCGTCTTAGAATCATGCATCATGTTATCATCATCAAGTACATCGATTACATAGGTGTCATGTAATCATCATCAAGAACAGGTATATTGATTACATAAGTATCATGTAATCATCCTCACAAGCAAATTGATTAAATGTGCCATCATGTAATTATCATCAAAAATTTATCATCATGAATCATCAAATTGACCATATGATATAATGTGCCATATCATGAATATTATTATACATTTGTGGACGTATATATATGTATATGTATACGTATACGTCTGTGAATCATTCTACAATTCTAGCGTGGTACCACTCAACGGTTTCGCTGAGCGTGTAGTTTGTATTTTTCGTTGACTACACGTAGGTAACAAGAAGACAATGATGGAACCATTCCCGGAGGGCATTGAGTCAGAGGAGATGCAAGGATGGCAGGCAAATGTTTGATCAACATATTTTAAAAAAAGTCATGATTTGATTATTATTGTACTTCCGCATTACTCTGAAAATATTTTTAAATGGGTCGCGATCCAGAGTCTGTAAATTTAATATTTATAATAAATTGTCATTTTCAAATGTCAAGCGAAATTTTTATTTAACTCTCGTTTAACCTTAATTCGTATAATTCCGGGTTATACGGATTGGGGTGTTACAATATATATATATATATATATATATATATATATATATATATGTGTGTGTGTGTGTGTGTGTGTGTGTACTTCTCAAATCAACAATTTTTGTTTTTTCTGAAAAAACTAAATTTTTTTTTAGAATTTCAAAAATTGAGGAATAAAATAAGAAACAAAATAATACAAAAATAAAAATGAATATCTTTTTCGAACATCTCAATTCTAAGGACTTTTTTGGGCTTGTCTATTTTTTTTATCAGACTTTTTTTGTGTATTTTTTTTCAATTTATTTTTCCATATTTTTTATTTTTTAATTCTAGGTTTTTCTTTTTGAACTTTCCAAAGAAGTACGTAATAAAAAGTGAAAATGTTTAATTTCAAATAGATGCAATGTACAGTATGTTAATTTTTTTTATTTTTATTTCAAACACAAAAAATTTTAAAAATTTTAAAACATTATAAAAAATTGAACATAAATTAGAAAAAAATCTAGGAAAAGGAAAAAGAGATAGAAAATATTTAAAAAAGGAAAACACAAATAATAAATGAAAAAAAAAATGGGCACGAATGCCCCCTATGGTTTAAAAATTATGCGCAAATGCCCCCTCTTTGCTGGAAAATGGCCGGAAAATGATCAGAGGGGCACGGGTGCAGCATTTTGAAACCACGGGGACTTTAGAAATAAGTTTTGAAAACAGAGGAGGTATTTGTGCCAATTTTTCAAACCACAGGAGCACCGGAGCTATTTGGCCCAATAATGAATTTGAAAACAGTGAATTCACACCGCTATAATCCAAAAGAACTAACAAGTGTTTCAAACACATCAAATAAATCCGTGTGAAAATGCGGCATGTCCTCTATATATATATATATATACTATACTATTCATCATTATCACTTATATATATATACATGTCAATGGGCACAAAACACACTAACAATTGAAATCCTACTTATCACACTCTAGTAACGAAAAGTTATTACACTCTAGTAACAAAAATGCTACAAGCCTACCAAAATTTAGACACTTAATGTTTCATGGACATGCATAAAGAATGATTTTCTCCTATAACGGTTTGTATATATTTATAAAATATTTGATGTCTAACTCTTAAATATATAGTGTATAACTATTCTTTAAAAAACAAAATAGTGTATAATTGATGAGTTTGTAGCATGATTTTTCTAGTAACAACCAAGTGGTTAATTGAATATATATATATATATATATATATATATATATATATATATATATTTATATTTATATATATATATATATATACTCCCTCCGTCCCACTGTCTTTGTCCACTTACCTTTTGGCACACCATCCAATACACTTCTTTAATCAATTTTATCTTGTAATTTGTATATTAAAAAATTATAAAAATTATATATTAATAATCTATATGTTAAGACGAATCAAACAAGATCACACATGACTATTTTTAGGCTTACACATTGAGAGAATTTGATAAGTCAAAGTGCTTAGATGAACAGTTCCAAAAGTCAAAACTGGACAAAGACAATGGGACGGAGGTAGTATATATGAAAATGAGTGCACCGCATGTCACCCTCTTCTTCATTATCACGCTTGGTTGTGGAAAGTAATAATTATTGCTACGTTGTCAATATTATAATACAGTGTGTGTTGCTCTCATATCCTTTACGATGTTAGGCCACAGAGCACTATATATCTTACTCACGTATTCAACCCTCTTTTGGAATTACCTGTGCCCTGTGATGCCGTATAACCCTTTGCTTGTTTGACTCGATTGGCATATTAGTACTCCATATAAGAGCATCTCCAATTGTAAATTTTATTTTACACTATCAACAATATTTTACACTTCCACTTTTTAATAACTACTCCAACCATGTTTTGTACTCCCTACTACACATTTATTCATGTCCCTGTCTACAACCACCTTGTAAATATACACTTTAACAATTGTATTTTACCATATATTATTTGTTTTACCCTCTCTCTTGGAGTGTCAAAAAATTAACCACAAAGTGTAAATTGTGCTATTAAATCAATTACTCTCTCCGTCTACCTAAGATCTTCTCATTGCGCGTTACGAGGCTTGACTGACTTTATATTCAATTCAATTTATTTGAATAAAGGGGTAAAATTTTAATATAAAATCTATGTAGTAATAAATTACATGAAAAGTTCTACAAAATTAGAGGTGACATCACTATATTATTTTATGAAATGAGTAGTAAAAATAAACAATCAAAGTGAATTACGTTTGACCCTGTGAATAGTGTCTGGGAAGATCTATGGTGGATAGAGGGAGTATAATGTGACATTTGACTATATTTTTGTTTACTTAATGACGGACAATGAACTTATGTCTTCATCTCTGTTGAAACTCGAATCTAGTTAAACTCAAATCTAGTTAAACTTTTCCATGAACTTTGTGGAGTGGACTTTATATCCTCAGGCCAAAGAATTGAAGAAGCTCACTCAGTAAGAGATAACTTAATCATTGACTTTTTTTACTCTCTCTTCATGAATATTAGTCTAGACCTTTAGCAGCTAATTAGGTAAAGTGACATTTCCACAAAACCCTTCTCCTTTCGTTTTTTGTTTTCCACAAAACACTTCAACTTTCTATTAAAAAACCATTTTTGCCTCTACTTTTTCATACCCTACCTATCACATCATACTTTTTCACTAATAACCAAACTATCACATCTTACATTTTCTCATCACATCATGGGTAAATTTAGAAAGTCAACCAAAATTACACTTTCCTTATTTTTGCCCAAAGTCAAAACGGGAATGGTTTTGTGGAACAGATGGAGTATAAGATATACTCGTATCTAATAAAACTTATTTTGTATCTATATCTAATACTCCCTCCGGTCCTAAAAATATGGAATGTTTTGATTTTGAAGAGATTTAAGAAAAGTGTATTCTAGTATTGAATTTCCAAAAATGTCTTTTGATGTGATTGATAAAAGTAGATTTGATTGATAGGTTATTAGTAAAAATGTATGATGTGACAGGAAGGGTATGAAAGAGTAAAAGGTAAGAGTGACTTTTTAATAGAAATAAGAAGTATTTTTTGGGACGATGAAAAAAGAAACATCTCATGTTTTTAGGACCGTGGGAAGTATTAATTTTATTTAATTAGTAATCGAAGTTTTTCAATTTTAATTGCAAATAAAAATTGAACCAATATTCAAGAACAAAAGTTGTACTCCGTATTTCTCAATGCTAATAAATAAAATGAATAGTGTAGATGGAAAATGATGATTTGATAGTTTTTTAAGGAAAATGAACTTGACATTTAAAGTAATGCATGAGAGTGAAAGATAGAATTTTTTTAAAATTCAGATAAATTTAAGTTGGAATTATTTTAAAAAATATTTTTTGTATTTTTTACGATAAAAACAGTAAAACCAAATTCTTGAGACCAGTGCTCACTGTGCACAATGAGCTCCCCACATTTTTTGAGAAGTTGCTCCCACACTGCCGCTGGTAAGGCTCAATACTTGATCTCTTGTTTCAAACTAGCATTTTCACCCGTGCGATGCACGGGGTCGACGAAATTTTTGTCGATTCTGAATTTTTTTTAATGCAATATATTTTCTGGATCAAGTAAATATATTTCTAACACGATTTTTTATCATTGGACAAAAACACCAAGGTAGAATAAATAATATTTGAGAAATTGAAAATATACT